ATTCTTCATAGTTGAAGTAGCCACAGAAGGTATCGGGCATTTCTTTATTCACTTTGGCTTAAGATCACTTCCTGGCAGTTAAGAGCCTACTTTATGATCATCCATTTGCAATGCTTTAAAGCGCAAAACTGTGGTCAAAGCATCAGTTAATTACAAGCTAAATTTTACCTGCAATAAGGCTTAGAGCTTAGCTATTTCGGATTCTTGATTGATAAAGATAAACAGTAATCTTTTATTGAATTGCACACTGCTACTGACCAGTTGTAGAAACTAGACTGAGCTGAATTAACCTTTAATTGGGACGATAACTAAATTGGCTACCTACATTCAAAAGGTCTTCAATTCATTTAATCTAGTATATTTAAATGGTAACTAAGGTGACGTGAAAGCGAATCATTTCGGGCCTTCAGTATAATCCAGATTTGTTAAGCGATCCAACCAATTTTATGTTATATTTTAATATTCACCTCTTTCAATTCAAATTCCAATATTTTTGGTACTTTCATTCTATACGAAAGTGTATTAAGAAGAGATTCGAAGGTCGATCTCACCAAAAAAGCGCTGTTAAATTCCGTTGTACCGCAGCTGTTTGGTTTTTATACTACGTTGAGATTGATGCAGTCCACGAGACCCCCTCCCTCTTTTCAGGTGAAAATGAGCTGAGCTTTCGTCCATCATATAATGGACATCATTAGAGCTGGGACTCATTCTTGTCTTAGTGCTATCTTGAGTTCTGATGATGTCCATCATATGATGGATGAAAACTCAGCCCGTACTCACCTTAAACGAAAGTGGTCTCGTTGACTGCATCAATCTCAACGTCGGATACAAGCCAAATAGCTGCAATGCAACAAGATTCAACAGTCCTCTTCTGGTGAGGAGATTCATCGAAACCCAGTTAAATTTTCAATATTTATATTTTTGCTTGCCATAATCATGTCAAAATCTAATCCTCGGACTTGCTTTACTTTGTCCTAACTGTGTTAGTCTTCATGAAGTTGACCATATGATAAGCAGAATATTAGTGATATGCTTAGAAGGTATACAATTTCACTTATTTTACAACTTTGTTTATTTGCACCAAATTAAGAACATCCTTTTTCACAATCTCCAAGTGCGAACTTAGCCATTTATCTACTAATCCTTTGGCAACTTTGGCTAAACCTCCACTAAGTTTGACTGATACTTTGTTGCTTACATCTTCTGAGTATTTATTTGTCACAATAAATCTCATAACGTGGACTCCCCGACAGGACAGTATTTTTTGCTCCGGTGCAGCATAGTCAGACGGCGTAGTCATTCAAACCTAAAGGCGCCCGATTGCAACTATTCTGACCTGAAGGTAAACAGCACGCCGAGTAAACTTGGTGAAATTATAACCATATCATTGCTGGTAGCCACATTGAACAGACTCCATTAAAAAAACAGCTTTTTCTGTCTCAACGTTAAATATATTTAATATATACTTGACTTAATAATACACAATTATCTCGTCGCAGAACTAGTTGATGCCTTGAAAATAAGAATCTGATGCTCAGTGAGCAAATAATAATGTTAATGAAGACCAATAAAAGTCCATCTACTGAAATTCTAAGATAAAAGAAGTAATTGTTGAGCTTACTTCCATTTCGAGTGAAAGTGTTGGGTGAAGAGATTCGAAGGTCGGTTCCCAAGCCAACACTTTCCCTCGAAATGGAAGTAAGCCCAACAATTTTGAAACAAGAGATTCCTCGAAACCCAACTTTTCTCCGCATAAATAAGTACTTGCCTCGTCCTCAACTGCTCAATAATATTTTCCTCCCAACAACACCTTCTCATCCAGCTTCCTCAACGGAGTGCATTTGGTGACTACTTAAAATAAAATAGAACTTTAATTTTCTACGTGCCCAGTCATTTTTAACTGGAACGAAAACATTATTGATAGATAGCTAGACGGGACAGCAACAATTTCTGCATAGCCAGATGGTGCAAAAGTAACCTTGTAACTTTCCGGATGTTGAAAGCTGAGATCATTTATCCGGAAGTTTTATTATATTGAAATCTTTTTATTGTGATCTCTCTCCATATGGAAAAATTCCACTTGGCCGAAGTCTTTTGCCAATTGAAATAATAGAAAAAAATCAAGTGTAAATGTTGTAATATTGCAATATTTCTCCTTATTCTATTCATTACTTTAGATTGGCACTTTTTCTGCTCTCAGCGAAGTCTGGACGGAGATAAGCCTTCTGTCAGACGGATCTGGTGGTTATGGTCCGGATGGTGATGGATATCCCGCGTTTACCCAGCTCAAGATCTACCCCGTGGCCACAGGCGGAGGAGTTGTCGGCTCGTTTGATGCGTCAATTACAGCCACTGACGGAACGATAGCATTTTCGTGCTCCTCCGTCATAGAGCCTTACGCTGTTTTCACATTGACCAAAGTAGGCTTTAGCTTTCCTTTCACAAGGTCTGAAACCAAATTGTTATGCGTGATTTTGGTATGAAGAACTGAGAATGTTAAAAAATTGGGTCGCGAATTTTGAAAAAAGGTTTTCAAGTGCCAAGTGCCCATTTGCCGGGGATAGCCCCCGTGTCTGAACCATTTGTATCCTCGTCCTGGCAGCTCACTGGCAGCTGTCTGTCACTCCGTATGAAAATTTGTGGCAAAAAGCGAATTATGAGAAGTATTCACCCTCTTTCGTTTAAGATGAGGTAAAACTGGCAGTTGAATTTTGCCACATGTCATTGCTTCTAAAAAAATATTTTTTCATCCCGGTTGGACCTGACTACGTTTTCGAC